ACCACCGTCCAAACGACGCGAGTGTAGCCCAAAGTATTCACATTGGACAGCTCGACATACCGTAGAGCAAGAGAAAAGAGAACGAAACCACCGGCACCAGTCAAGGCACAAATAATCTGTAGAAATACTTGTAAACCTGTTCCACTGAGGAGTGTGTATTTTTTGCGTAACGCAAATGAGAGTGTCAATAGAAGTTGAATCGAAAAACGTATGAGTAACGCATCGAGTAAGTCAACGCCCAGTTGTCTGATTGTAAATGTTGAAAAGGTGAAGAGAAAAGACGAAAACAGAGCATAGAAAATACCGGAAAATCGATGAATTCCACGCGGCTGTTTTTCATTAGTAATCGTCGGAGGAAGAATAAGCGGATCGCTAGGAGTTATTTTCACCTCAGTTTCGACTTTTTGTACGGACATAATTTCAAGGTAGGTTTTCACAAAAGAGTATAAATTTATATTTATCGTTTGAATATTTATTGAAACAGTCGTAAAAAAACCAAATTTCACGTCTGTTAATCGTCTTCACAAACGAATAACGACAGTTAGATTAGAAAAGGATATGAGCGATTTATGGGAGCACTTTAAAAACGACAATCGGGTACTGATTTAGAAGTGACTCATGATGTTTTCTTTGGACATCGTTCATTGTTAACGAACACGTGCTGTCTCTTGCGTTCTTAGTCGATTTGGATGGAAGAAATATTTTCTTTTCCACCGTTCATTCGAACATCTTATGTACGAAAGTAAGTTTGCCGTTCAACTATTTTAATAACTATGAGACATTTTTAGACGCTGATATTCCGATTTCAACACCATCGCGAACTATCTACCAATATGAAACAATTGCTTCACCTTTTCGAACATTCTATCAAAACACCAGCCAACAGCCTGCTTATGTCTCATTCGAATCGATCCCGCCGTCGATTGATAAAGACAATTCGTTGACACCACCATTCCAGAAGAAACTACCGATCATTCCTGTAATTATTCTCGGATTTTGTCAAATCCTCGGTGGATTGATTGTTCTCACACTTGAAGTACTTGTCTTCGATCTTGCTGTTGGACTCTGGTGTGGCTTTATCTATGCACTCGCTGGCATTGCTGCTCTTGTACTTGGTTTGTTTTCTAGACACGAAAATTTTCTGATGATTTCTTCATTTTCTTCAGCAATCGGGACTGATCGTGAACGTCATCAAGCAACAGCTGTCTTGATTTTTCAATTAGTCGGTACGTACGAAACAAAACATTTTTTACATCCCATACGAACTGAAATCTCCTTTTATTTAGCATTGATGTTTTCGATTACGGAGATCATCCTACATGCCGATTTCTATCAAAAACGTTGTTTAACAAAACCACATGAACCATCACGTGAAGCATTCTATCAGTGTCAAATTCTTCTCATTCAAATCGGTGTGGCAGCATTTGTTTTGATTCATACAATTGTATTTGCGGTGATATATTTTCGCACAACAATCGTTGTGCTTAAACAACCACATGGAACGTTCAATCTATCGAATGCGATCAATTTCACTTGTTAATTGTGTGTGTGTAGAATAATGTTTCCTTTTTATGATTTTATGATTGAAAATTGAAATAGATTCCTTCAGAAGATATGGTATACGCGAAATAAGAAAATCGGTTCAAATAACTTTCCAAGATAGATAATCTAAAAAAGAATAAAATGTTATAATTCGTTTGTACCAACTGCTGAACATTTTATCGAAAACAATTTAATTCTTTCACACGAAAATACAGATTCGTTTCCAAAATACTTTCCTAGCAGATGTTCCCGATGAACTTTTTTCATACACTGACCTCGAAAATAGTACAGAACGCGAAAAGAAAGCCAACCTATTCCACACATTACATGCATACTTGACTGAATTCAGTCAACATTTCGAATCTAAAACAAAGAATAAAACACTGCTGCTATCCTATATAAACTAATTTTATACCCACATATCACCTTACATAAATTCCTCAAAAATGTCTCGAAAAAATAAAAATAAACCATATCTAAAACCTACTCCTGAAAACAGCATATCACCAGCCACACCACCACTACAAAAAACAACAAGCACCCAAACAGAGTACGTGTCGAAAAAAACCGAATGCAGACGAATACAACTGAGCATAGAAAAAAACTTTTTCCGACATATAATCAATACATACTTGTCATAAATTCTTCTCACTCTGCGCTCTCATCGACTTATAAGATATGCAACCAAAAATCACTTTATTCCAACAAAAAAATCATATCTTCTAACAAATCTTCCACACCTTGACGACCGCCTTCTTAACCTGAAAAGAAGTGGAAATTTCTTTTTCTTCATCAAAAAACGTTCTTACTTTGAATCACACCTTCTGACTGTTCACGGACGATTAATTGATTTAAAACGAAATGGAAATATGTCTTCTTTTCGACAAAAAATACTTGTGATAGATTCCGCGAAAAACAGCTACCCTGTTCCACTTAACTAAAAAATGATGTAAAAGAACATATTTTTTTAATTCTTTGATTTTTTAGTTCACCGGAGGATCTTCGTTTCGTGTGCTTTACTTCGCTTCTCCTGATGGTCTTTTCGTCGATTTTTGTCTACCATTTATGGACAATTCCACCGATCGATACATGGGCGGTAAACACGAATCCGATGGGTTTTATGTATAGTGCTGCTGGGGTGTTGTCAGGTTTGGTGGTTTGCGTTCTGTATGGAAAACCGTACAGTCCTCTTCTCATCACAGTGGTTGGCTTGGTGAGCATCTTGGTGGTGTCAGGTTGTGGCTATCCCGGGCTTTACGACTGGCTCGAAAAATGCGTCTTTTTTGTTGTTTCGTGTTTTATGTGCCTGAAGTATATGATGAATCGAGCAAAAGTGTTTTTTGAAAACCAGTTTACCCAGTTCCTATGTTTGTCCTTGTGCTTTTGTGTATGTATCTGTGTGTGTTTGACTGCATGGATGTATACATTCCGTGAAACGTACACCATTCATTTGTTCGTATGTTGGGCATGTGTGTGTGTTGGTTGTGTGTGTATTTCTGGTTTGTGGTCGTTCGTCACAGACTTTTGTGAGAAAGTGGTTGATTTTGTTCCGTGTTTTCGATCAAAAGAAGAGTGAACATCGTTTCAATTTTTTATTCTTCCATACCGACCAGACTTCTTCACATTTCGAGAAAAGACAAACACGCATTTAACAAAAGAATTAGGAAGATGACCAAAATACAGAAATTATGACGTAAACCAGCAAAATAATCAACAAAGCATTTCATTTTCATATACGAAATCGTCCACAACATAAAAGGAAATGATAGTTATTGACAAGAAAAAGAGAAAATCTCAACGTCCTTAGGCGCTACAGCTGGACTTTAGGCGAGACGAAGACGATAGTATATTTCTTCAGATTACTTTTTACAAAACTCTTTCTTCACTTTGATATCGTTTATGCATGGTTAATGGATCTGGTGATGATGTACATGTTAATCAATTGATACAGTTGAAAATAGCATTCGCATTACCAGTACTCGATGGAAGAACATCACCATAATCAAAATAAACATCAAAATGCTCCATCTTTTTCATAAACTTTACTTGAACAAAGTCAGTGACGATTTCGCCGTGTGCATCAAGATTTTCATGTATCAAAACGTATTTTATTGTTCGAATAATTTCAGCTTCTGCTGGTGCTTGTTGTGTACATAGTTTCTTGTGAAGTTTCGGATGAAGCAGAGTTTCTAGGTTGATCAACAAACAATTTCATTATTCTATGAAGATTAAAATTGAATGAAAGAAACCTATTTCAACTGTTCCTTATGATCGATGTTTCAGCGAAACTTTACTCAATGATCTTGATCGTTGATGCTGTTGTCGCGGATGTATGACAACTGCATGTCCTTTACTATGATCAACATGTACTGGTTCAGTATTTGGTGTATGTGGATGAAGACGTGAACTTGTATTTGTGATTGAAGCATTACAACTTTGAGATACGATCTTTTCAACACGATGATATTGTTGTTGTTGTTGATTTTGATAGACATTATCTGCTTGCGTTGATGTACGAATTAAGACTTGTTCCTTTAAATACATATTATTTGATGCCATCGATCGAATGATAATCAGTTTATCGTCATGTTGTCATCCAAGTTCGCGGATTTGAGTTTCTTTGGTTTTGATTTCGTTGATCTATGAGAAAGAAATAAAAAGTGTAAAGAACCTCTCTATCATTCGTCTTACATATTATTGTTCAAGTTCATTTTAGTCTTGAGATCGTTTCTATCTTTTCGTCGATCAGATTTCTTTGTTTCATTCGTCAATCTAAAGAAATCATGTTTTGCTATTCGTTGACATGAGAGAACGTTGAATAAATACTTGTAGTTTCGATGTTTTATTATCACGTTCAGTTTGATTTGTTGTTTTAAGAAGGTCTTTTTGTGATTTTTATAAGGACTTAGTGCGTGTTTGTAAACGACGGGCTCTTTTTGTTTGTTAATTATTTTCTTTTAATATATTTTCTTGATTGAACATCGTTGAATTATAATCTGATACGAATTCTAAAGTAAATTTACTAAGGAGTTCCTGTTGTTCTTGAATGAGCCATTTGATAAGAAAAACGATTTTTCAGAGAATAAAACATTCGTTTTAAACCATATTGAATCGCTGTCGTTCTTCCATTCATCGCCGTAAATATTCTTGAAGAATCGGTAGAGATTCATCATCATTAGTTCCATCCGCTAATAAATAATCAAGCGATGGAAATGGAGCGATGGATGTTTAGTTATTCGATCGAAAGACGAGAAAAATCCACTCACTTGAGCTCAGTAGAAAAGAATGACTTATGCATTGGATTGTTGTTGTGTTTGTTGGTTATCGACTACACGTAAAATACCGTTCGTACGACTTGATTTGGGTGGGACTGACGGCAAAGATCGTGATACCATCACATCTGTTGTCAATCCACCTAATTTCAATGCATGGTTAAATTATTCAAAAGGAAAATGAAAGATTCATCCTGACATTGTTTACTTGAAGTTGTTTTTATATCTATTCACAGTTGGCTTGACACAAACATTTATTTATATTCAATCTCCGTCGTCAAAGTAATTTTTGAAAATGATGACAATTTGGATTCACGATATGGAACCATCTACATTGCAAATATGTGTACCATCTTTAACTCTTTAAAAGCATAGAAGACTTACTCGACTGATTCCTTGTGCATGATTTTGTCGTAAAGTTTCAAAACATTGTCGAAGCACCATTAATAATGAATTGGCATTATCTGCTTCTTTCACTCGTTCAGCAACTGCCTTTGCTCGATTCACACGTTCACTACCAGCTAAATCTATTGTACTGACTATCAAATCATCTTTCGTCTAAAATCAAAAAGATTATTCATGTGATTAAATGCATAAGTTCAGTAACCCACCAATGATGTTGGTGGAATATCATTTTCAAATTGAACAAGACACATTGATAAGACACTATGTGGACGACTTGATTCTGTATTCAGTTGTGTATGCGCAGTTCGACGTCGTTTAAAACTCATATTTAGCAATTTGATTGCTTCTTGACTAGAACGAATTTCAATCTCTTTTACATCTTTGATATAGGACCGACCACGATTATCATCACGTAATTGCTTCGATTGTGGTGTTCTAAAAAGTCAATTGATAGATTTGATTCAAGTAAGAAGTGCTTTACTTGCTAACAAAATCATCATCAAATAAATCGTAGATATAATTATTATATTTCACCTAAAGTAACAAACACAAAATACGATGAATCTCTATTTAATTGCGGATTGTGTAATGATGCTGCATCCAATGCGCGAATATTGCATTTTTCAGGAATTTTAAAATGAATTTGTTTATTTTGGGATACGTAAAAGATTTCTTGTTTACTTTTTTGTTGATAATTACCATTTTTGGTTATTTGAATTTCTCGATGTTGTAGTTCAAGTAAAATATCAGCTTCACTTTGAATTTCATAACCATTTTGACGATCAGAACGAAGAAACTAAATGATGAAATTGATATAACGAAAAAAAGGAATAAAATTGAAAAGAGAAAACGAACGTGTTTTTCCCAAGATAAAATCCAATAGAATTGAAAGCCAGCGTCAAATGAACGTGGAATTAAATCAGGGTTGTTCAATGGTCCCATCATTATATAAGTTTTACCTGATGTAGTTATCCCATAGATAAATAAAACATCTAAATTTTGAAAATAAAATCATGTCTGTTTGACGAAAGAAGAAATATATGTAGTAGGGGTATCACTGCTCCCTGTTTTGGGAACGGGGACGCTGTACCCCGTTCCCACTTCCAGAACGAGTAATACTTTGGCATAAAACTGTAAATGAATATATAATTGTAGTTGAGTTATGTAGAGAAACTACCAAAAAAAGTAATTAAAAATGTGTTTCACTTTTAGGAAACATTGCGAGGAACGCTGCTGTTTCTTAGTCTCTGTACCTTGTGTAAACAAGATAAATATCCAATGACTGGTAGATTAAATTACTGAGCGAACCACATACATATTTCACAGTTTCTATATTTAAAGAAGATGCTTCCATTCCGCGTTCTTGAACGGAGAACGGTGTCTGCGTTTCCATTCTTCAGAGTGGAACGCCAAAGTGACACCCCTAATACGTACTGCTTTCTCCTTCAATAAAATTATCCAGTAAAGTTGATGTCAATTCTCTAAATGAAGATAACTGAGATACATCATCAGTCAGAATATGACTGAATTTCTAATAAAGGAAAAGAATTTCTATCATCATAATATTCCATCGAAAAACCACTAGAAAAAGAAAAACATTACTATTTAAAAGATTTTATTATTTATATTTACTCAATTTCTTGTAGGATTTTGAACTTAAAAGATACTTCATTTATGTAGTTAGTTAGCCATCTTTAACGCACACGTTTTTTATTGGCGGTATGTTGTTATGGGAGGAATCGTAAATCTACTTACAACTTTCTTCACTCTTAGTTCATCGCAGACTGAAATAAAACGATCTGGTAATTATTTTCAGCAAAAATAACTTTGAAAATTAGTACCTCTCGATAGAGAAATATAGATGTCACCAGTGACAAGTACATTCACTTTCAATTACATGAAAGGAAAATCGTTTTGTTTTGACTCTCTAGCAATATACGATCTATAAGTTACTGATTATTAAAAACAATGATAAAACCAGCGGCGGCGGAACGATTCTAATCTAGGGTCTAGGGTAGGCTCAATCCAGTGACGGCGAGCGCTGTGAGAAGGGGGAGAAGGGAAAGAGAAAAATTTAGGAAATCGGAGAAAAATGTGATTTAACTTTTTAGCTGTGATTGACGAATATATTCGTCAAAGTAATATTTATGGAGGAAACGAAGACTAATTTCTAGATCGTAGTTTTTTTTCGTAAATTCTATATCAAATTGAACGGTCTGTAATGAATAGAGCTCATCATACGGTTTTTCATGTTTCACATTGATTCTGCCAATCTGCGTCGACTTTATAACTATTCGTTACAGTACAAGTCCTGTTTCCTTTGAAAAAATTTCAGAATTAAGAGGTTAATTTAGAAATAGTCAAAAACAATGGCAATCAAGTGTACGCAACTTTCAGTTTTTTTCATTGATGAAAAAATACATATAATTTGCCGCTTTGAATTGGTTTTCACATAAAAGTAGTCACCGTTAGTTTCTATCAAAAAAGCATAGGCATGCACTGTAACAATCTCTCTGACATGCGCTGTATGCGTGATATGATTTTTCTCACATAATGGATTTTCCTTATCAGGTATATTCTGATGTACTTTGATATGATGCTTTCTTGCGTTCTCTTCTGTATGGACGAGTGTATAAACGCGTGTCTTGTATCAGAAAGATGCGATTTATGAGGAAGAAATAAATATATGCGTAGTTCCATCAGCGCATACATCTCTTCCATCAAAATCGTCACACGCACGAATTTATTTTCTAGACGATCAATGTTACCAGTGACTTCTGAAAACCGTTCAGGAGAAGGTCAGTTTGCGCTAATGGTACAATTGTCTGTCGGCAATTCTCGCCGCCGAAGGCGGCAACGGTGTCATCAACGATTAAAAAAGCTTTCTAGTTTCTGTTAGACTGCCAGTTCTAGAACTTGTCAGAAGTTTTATAAAAATAGATAAACTTGTCCTATTGTCTGAAGTGGTAAAGATTAGAACTTTATTTGAATGTCTTAACTATTATACGAGTTGAAATGTTTGCTTTGCCTTCATGAAAATATCGACAAAGTGGTAGAAAATTCGACGTTTTCCAAAAATAAGCGAAAAAATATAAGGAAATACCCTCCAAATTCAAGATACTCGTGAAAATCCCCAAATGCAAGAGACAAAGAGAACCTTTCTCTCAAATGCAAGCAAATTTTATGATTTTCGTTGGAAGTTAGAGAAAAATGGAGTGTATTTTCGAAAATTGGAGAAGTTTTAGGAAATTTTCTTCAACAATATCACAAAAAGTTGGGAGTTTCTTTTAAATTGAAAGGAATTTTAAAAGAATATTCTCGAAAATCGCAGAAAATCTTGGAAAAAATTCTCTCGAACGAAATATTTTGAGTTATAAATTAGACAATGACGTCGATTTTCCCGTGAAATCAAGCCTATCTGAGCCTACTCTACTCGATTCTAGGATAGGCTCCGCCGCCTATGAGTGGCGGCGCCAAGGGAGGGTCAGGGTGGACTCAGCCCACTCTAGAATTTTTTTTCATATGCCGAGTCCAGCCTAAGCCAAAATTCTGGTGCCGCCGCTACATTCGACTCAGAATTTAATTTTCCATCGAATGGTGATGTTTCTATTCACAGGACAAGGTTTAGAAAAATGTTTACCTATATCTTTGTTTGTTTCCCATAGGTCTATTTATGATCCAAATGAAATTTTTCCAATGTTTGTCCCGTGAGTAGAAATATCACCATTCGATGCAGAATTAAATTCTGAGTCGAATGGTATAGTTTTCAAAGACGGGACTTATTTAGTAAAAGGTTTTTGGCTAAGACATCGTTTGTTCGTGCTAGCTTCAGTGATGACTGATAGTAATACCGTTTTGAGCAATAGTATTTTAGAAATATTTTCTGCACTTGGCTTATGCCAAATTATTCCGGAAGAGTCATATATTTTATCAAATAGATATCACAAGAAAAGCGGTCACTGGCTCAACGGTTATCGATTCACCGTTTAATCGAAATGTAGCGGTTATCCTTAAACGTCATTTCCATCAGACCCGATTATTGTTAAACTTCACTTTCACTAGCCATGTCGAACGTTCCGGTGTCCGGATCCCGCGAGAACCTGCAGGAAAGGAGTGGAAAGGTCATTGGATCCTGTAGAAAAGCGCCGGAAATCGCTGAAACATGGAAGCAGTATTCCGAGCGGAAATTTTTGAATTTTTTCCGGTGAAGTTCAACCAATTTTCCGTGGTTTCCAGCAGGAACTGACCAGAACTTGCTGGAAAATTTCCGCTCGAACTACTACTTCCATGTTCCAGCGATTTCTGGTGTTTTCCTCCCAGAATCTGCCCGTATTGTTCGACCTGGGTAGATACAGTTTTCGTTTAATCTCATTTTCACAAAATCCGGCTACCGTTTTACACCGGTTCACCGCCTACGGCTAAACGGCGAATTACCGCCACCGTTGCATTCCCAAAGCTAATGCTTGAAGTGCAGCAATAAGGAAACAATTTCCTAATTAACCTCGACACATTCGCGATTTGAACGTCACACCTTCGTAGACATTTGTAAATATTATTCAATAAGAAAGACACAAAAGAAAATGTTTTTATACATTTATTCGTTCTTGTTAAATGCCTTCGAAGATCAAATATCATGACTTTCATAAGAAAGAATTGTGTAGAAGAACTTCATGCATTCTGAAGTCTTCCAGAAAGTAAGTTTCCGAAAACTTCATCATCGATTATATAAACAAATCATCCTCGCTTTACTACTTTTATGCACACGAGACTGTAATTTGAGATTTTGAACGCGAAGTTGCGATATAGAGGTTTCTGACCATAGTGGATATATATCAATTCCAATGAAATAACACAAACGAATAGAGATATCATATTATATGCATACATGTATAACTCGAAAAGACATTTCGAGTATTAAAGTTTTCATTCGAGTTTTCGAGTTTTCGAGTTTTAAACTTCTAAAATCTAGAGGGTGTGGGTGTGGGTGAGGGTGAGGGTGTGGGTGTGGGGTGAGGGTGGTAGAAATTGAAAACTGGGTGAGGGTGAGGGGGTGAGGGTGTGGGGTGAGGGTGGTAGAAATTGAAAACTCGAAAACTCGAAGCTTCGGGTTCTAAATTTTAGAAGTTTAAAACTCGAAGAAGATGTTTAATACTCGAATCGAGTTAACGATTTCTACACTACTCATTATATGCGGAGTTTTATTTTTCTACCTTCAGGCTTTACAGATTAATGAATTTGAAAGTTTGCTCTTGATTGTTTTATTAGATTTGTGTCATAAATATATATTGAGTTTATCTTTTTTGCTCATCGCTACTTTTTTATAATTACACTGGAACTCCCGGTATATCAATCTTTATCGTTTGCGACATCTCCTGTCCTAATGATGGACACGCACGCGTGCTTGCTTGCTTTAATATGGTATGTCCTCATTTGCTAATACATTATCCTATCCAAAGAGAGCCAATAGCTATTTGGGAGAGGAATAGCAGGAAGAAGAATTTCTTTGTTTCTATTCTATGTGTTCCTTTTGACATCATTTTATTCTCCAAATGTTTTAGCTTTATATCCTACAAATATAATGTTTTTGGTTGTGATTGTAATAGTTCGCTTATACGCTAACATCACATTGCGAAAAAACGGAAGCACATGTTGATATCTTATAAATCGTCGCTTTTTCTTTCAATCTAAACTGTTTCCCATGTATTGTTGTACAACGATCCTCATAGCCTTGTACAAGTCACCTTATGTCTCTAACAGATGTTTAAGGAAAAAATCCTTCTTAGCGTTTTCTTTTGTACATTTAACACATCAGAATAAATCAGCTGTCCGCTAATATGAAGTACAATGAACTCATTCATTTCCGTTTCTCTGTTTCTATCCATTGAGACATGTAAGCTTTTCTAAATTATATTTCTAATATAGTGTTTATTGTCGAAGTTTGAATGAAGATAGAACAGCATATTCTATGGATGGTTTTCAAAAACAACTAGATTAATCTCAATTGAAAGTATATGCATTGTCTACTACTCTATCGAAATGCATGCATTTCCATATTTGACAAACAAATTCTAGTTTCCATCCTCAACTTTTCTTCTCTGCAACATTCGATTTTATGAATATGGATATTCGATCCAAAAATAAATCTTTCTTCATTTTACTTTTAATTGGATCTATCGGTTGGTAATGTCATTTCAGCTTTAATTTTCCTTTTATAACTCCGAATCGAATGCTAAGTTTTATTCATCTATTCCAATACTTTTTTCACAATGTACTTTTTCCTGTACGCAATATCTCTTCCTTTATTTTAGACTGGACTACATTATTTTACTGCAGTCAATTTCTATTTCATTACCATTAAGAACGATCAATCAAAGCTCAATATGAAAATTAATTACAGTTACCTGAAGAGAACCGATTGTTGGGCCTTATGGGTTTCCGTTCTTCTTTACTTTATTATAGGTGGATCATGCTTTCCTATATTTAATGTTTACAAAATTCATCGCTTAGTGTTTAGGTCACGTTTCAACAATTCAATAGTTAATCACATTACTCCCGTATGTGGAATTCCTTATGAAGAACTTCGTTGTTCTGTCATACAAACAGATAATGATCAGATTTTGAAATATTGTCTCACTGACAACTCACTTATGTATATCCGAATTTTAGTACCGATATTGATGGCAATGAATCTTTGTATTATCCAATTATTTTTGATGCTATGTGGAAAGTACAGCCGTTCTTCTCTTTGTGTTTTATGGATGAGCTATGCGTTCGCTGTGCTGGTTATAAAGGATAAAATTCGTTACGATAGTTGTTTTCATAATTTTGCGTTGGACGCTCTTACTCTTACGAGTATCTTGCTCGCTGGTGGCATGCTCTGTTTTTTAGCGGAATATCGAAAGTCTCAATCTCCTTTGTTTATAAATTCTAAGATTTCTGGTCGTAAACCGATCGAAATCGACGAGGAATCAACCGAAGAAGTCGACGATGAACCTACCGAAGAAATTGATCATGAACCAACCGAAGAGGTCGACGATGAGTCTACCGAAGAAATTGACCATGAACCAACTGATGAAATCGATCAGAAATCTATGTCGTGGCAAAATCTACTCTAATATGATACGACACAAAATCTTCATTAAAATCTTCTCGTTTGCTGTTTTTTTTGTTATTATAGGATGCATTCTATGTTAAATCGATATAATCATTGTTTAATTGTACGATTGCCGTTGTTTTTCTGTCCTTTTTCATTCAATGTATAAAAGTCAAATATAACTAATTGTTACCTTACTTTCTTATTATTATGCTATTCATAATGCATTGTCTCTACACAAGGTGTACAACAGATTGCAGTTCTAAAGCAGACAATAGTGAGATTATTTATGTTTTCAAATGTCCCACCTTCAACTACTACAGCAAATTCGCCTGCTTCTACTACAAGTGAATCAACTACACAAGCATCTATTGATAATGTTGTTCCTTGACAACCAAATAAATCAAATGCTGCTGGTGAACGTGTTGTATACGAAGAAAAAGCATGTCAATGCCTTCAATCATATACACCTTTACCTAAGGACAGTGGAATATGTCAAAATCTGATGAAGCTCAAATGTAGCTTTTTAAAATATCACCATGAGACAATTTAAGTGAATTATGTTCAATAAGCTGCTCTTAAAGTATTGTTTTTCTAATGAGAAAGTGATTGCTTCATTTATTTTGCTCTTGCTTAGTGGCACATCGGTGTGAAGCTAGCACCATTTAGCTAGCACCGTATAACGAAAATCATAACAATCTTATGTTCAAATGAATTCCCGTCCGTCGAAATAGGCTCATTCGACGCAGAATTTAATTATACATCGAATGGGGTCCTTTTTATCGACGGGAAAACGACTGAGAAAATGTTATACAGATTTTTCTATACGTTTGTGTCTGGAAGGAAAAAATCTAAATAGAATCTTCTCAGTCGTTTTCCCGTCGATAAAACGACCCCATTCGATGTAGAATTAAATTCTGCGTCGAATGAGCCTATTTCGACGGATGGGAATTCATTTGAACATAAGATTTTTATGATTTTTCGTTATCTGGTGCTAGCTTCACACCGATATCTATTTCTATTCCTAAGGATGCTAGGAATTGGTCACTTATATTATAAGTCGAATTAGGCAGCTACTCGTTGCTTTTGAATGAGTCTGAGAAAAGTTTTCTTGAAAAAACATTCCCGTAGCTCCAGTCAGGGATGGACGGGTCAAAAATGACAAATTTCTGATAACTCGCCCGTCTCTTGATGGATCATCCTTATCTTCGAGCTCGATTGAGATATTGATGAGATCATTCTGTGCAGAAAATTTCAGTTCAACCAAATATAACTGTTAAGAGTGATCCCATAGTGTGCTCATTTTCTTAGTGCACAAAAATAATGAAAAATAAGAAATCACGTTGAACCGATGATTTTATTGGAAAAAAGATAACATGTATATAAAGTAGTGAAGAAGTCTTTGTAGTTTCATTTGATTATAACCATATGAAAAGTGTGTCATCATCTATCGTTTTAGGAACTTCCGTTCGAAAAGAGCGAGTATTTAAAATTCGCTGCTTAGCACGTAATTCTTTCTCATTGACTTCACCACATCTTATTATGTCGTTGAGTGTGAGAAAAGTCAGTTTCTCGAGACCGTTGATAAGTATATGTGACATTTCAGTGACGTCATAAATATAACCATGTATTTCCATAATTTGTAAATGAGGTAATCGTGCAATAATTGAATAGGCAATGTCTAACAAATTGGATTGTTGCCAAACAATAAAAAGATTCAGTTGTCGTAAACCATTTGACATAAGTATATTACACAGAAAACTATCGTCCAGAAGATTGATTAAACTTTCCTCTTCCCAAGGAACGTGAAAATGATATACTGCTCTATAGTGTAGTTCAAGAGTACGTAAACTGGTCGCTTGTGAAAACAGAACATGAAGATGATTTCGATGAAATGGTTCAGCAATACTAAGTGTTGTTATTTGATGCCAAGGTACGATTGGTGGTGAAAGAGAAAGAAATTTTTCGTTTATTTGACCATTTTCTTTATTCATAATAATCTTATTACAACGTATTAATTGATTGTTAAGAAGACATTGATTATATGACCATGGACTTTGTCTAAATTATAAGTCAAATATTTGTAACAAAGAAAAGCCAGTTGTCTCGTTTTACTTGTGTACAGTGTTTTTATCTAGATAGAGAGAGACACATAGATCTGTATCCAGTACTGGTATTGTTGAAGCTCTAATAAAATAATGGTATCCTAATAAATACATCTGTAGTCGAATTGGCGCTGATCCTTTCAACTGATGAAATATATTGGAGAAAATCTGGTCACTTTCCGATTGTGATATTATCTGCTTAACATGCCATTTAACATCAAATGAATATAAACATTGATTGGAAAGTTTAGATTGTAGATCTTGAAGAACATTAGGACCATCGACTTCTGCCGATAAACTAAATTTTGTTAATGAAAATAAAACATCACGCTCAAATAATCCGTTGATTGTATTGACATTCACTATAGTATTAAACCATGCTATTCTCAGGCGGCAGAGATTCGGAGCCAGATGTTTATTAATGGGTTTGATTTGACTAAAATAGATTAAGAAGATTATTTTACAAAAAGAGAAAATGTCTGTCATATTTTTTTTTAAAGTCTCATCCTGATCGGATGTATTCCGACTAAGAAAAGTAATTAGTAAGGATTATCTTTGCTTCTAGCGCTCTGAATATTTCGTCTATCAACTATTCAGGAGCTTTGATACTTAGATGAATTCTATCCGCTCCTGAAATTTGAGAATCTTTTTTAATTGTCTAAATGGCTAGATAAATCTCCTGAATAACGACAGAGGTGATCCTTTCGAAAAGGAATTGTAGATTTACTGATCGAACAAGAAATGACTTGATCCAATTCTATTCTTCGAATAAATTCATCGATAGTCGAAATAAATAGCAAGTCTCATTTACTGATACAGTCAAAATTAGAAAACGATTTTCTAGTATCACATTGATGACATTTATTATTCGATTAGATTGAGCTGAAACTCTCTCTTTCTATGACAAGAAAGACGAAAATATTTCTATATGTTATTTGTCAAATGTTAATCTCTTACTCATTCTCATCACTACAGACATTTCTCAAGTTCGCTATACTTTATTCCGTTTCCGCCACTAGCTAGCGTTTTGTCTCGAGATAGATTTGATTCATTTTCAAATCTAATACAGAATAACTTTTTTCTATTAGAAATGATTGAATATCTTCTCTTCTATCATTCACAGTACATTATTATAGATTAGAAACTCAAATCCATATTCAATGAAAGAAGAAAACTTACTTATGGAGAGTATGTCGTCGTGGATGATTGCTAGGTAGCCATGGATTAGTTTGGATATAGATGAGTTCTTTCAATTGTGGAAGACGTTCAAATAAATGTAAGAGAAAACTTGAGGAGCAACGGATTGTAAGTTTTTGTAAATTTATAAGACTGTTTTGAACAGGCAGAAAAGTACTGCCAAGGGGCAGAATGAATTGACGGTCTAAAGTAGGATTTGCATTTCGCCGAAATAATAGATTGCATTCACGTAAAAAGGGAAATAAATGAAAAATTTGATCATGAAAAGCGCCTTCAGGGACATCATGAAACGTATAAGCAGCACGATTCTCACTTGAAAAATTTATATTGAAGAAAATGAGAGAATGAATCGATGACAATGAATTAAGAATTGATTGAAAAGAAGAACGTTGAATATCGATTAAAGACAAATGACGAAGATTGAGAAATGTACAGACGTGTTCAACTAACCAGAAATCATTGCCGATAGCTAATGTATTTGACACACATAATGATACGAGAGCACCGGATATCTTCGATTCGGACAAATATTTGTAATAAAATTCGCTCACTGCTCTACTCATTCCATTGAAACCCAAGAAAACAGGAATATGTGAGAGATTATTCAACATAGCAACAAATCGAGAATTAAGCTGAAAAAAACTCTCGAAGATTTCATGAATTTGAAGATAACTAAAGATTTCCCAGAATAATTCGACGGCGAAATGCTCTAATGTCGTGATCATAGTTGATTAGAATGTCATCATATTCAATTCGCGTATATTTGTTTTCTATAACAGTTTCATGAACAACAATACAAAGCAATATTGTTCTTTCCTCCAATAGTCAATCGGGTCAAACATAATGAAAAAATGAATTGAAACAAATATGATTGGTGCATTATGCTCGAAGTCATGCGAAACATTTAAGTGTGTTTGCGGCTTTATTGTTTTATTTACATTTGAATCGCTCTCCTTTTCAAATCATCGTTATTATATGATCAATGTCAAGTTAGTAAGAAAGTCAATTCTATGTGAGTTTGTTTGATTGATTTGCAAGTGAAATGAATCTAAAATATTGAGAAACATCAATCAAGAAAAATGCACTGTTTTATAAAACATCTTCCAGTATTCAATTAACGTTGATTTTTGGCCGCTTTGTGGAAAAAAGTATTTAAATCAAGAACAATCAGTATCATCATTGTGTTCTCCATGAAAAAAGTCCCTAGCTATGAAGAAACAAAAGCTTCACATTCATTGCTAAAATCATTCACCTAAGCTGATTATCTGAAAAGTCCTTTTTCAGAAACGTTTTCCGAACGCTGCACAGAACGTAGTGGACTGAAATTTATAGCCAATATGTATTTGTTAGGTGTCTATGAGTGGCCAAATGTTCAACTTCCTAGCTTTTGTCAATCAAAAGTGATAAGGGCTGAAAATTGCTAATAAATTGAATATTTCAAAATATCGAGGGAATTTCAAAAGTCCAACGGTTTAAGATTTGAAGGTGAAAATTTGACCATAAATATATATAGCCTCTGAAGGTATACATCTGGACAACATTTCAGCTCAATCGGCCAAGCCATTCTTAAGATTCTGTCTCGTTTCTACTCCCAATTTTTGATTTTTGCTTGAAAAATCTCGACGAATCATTCGTTGTTGTTTTTTGTTTGATATGAGTTGATATTATGAATTTAAGCTGATCACTAGATCTATTAGGTTCATTTATTTAATTCCTATTAATGATTCCATTAACACCTGAAGAATGGACAAGTTATCATCTGTCATATCTCAAGTTCTTTCTGTTGGAAACATCATGTCAATCGCATCATAGTCTTTGAATGTTCGTATCAAGAAAAAAGATTTGTTGAAATTCCTTAGATTTACTTCTGAGGATTATTTAATGGATAGTGTCGTATGTGACATTCGCAATATTCTGTCAAGAAACAATGGATTCGTTTGCTGATCAATGAAGTGTCGAGTTAATTCAATCTGTTTTGATTCTATAAAACCATTTCTTAGTGATTACTTGAGTGCAATCCTTTTGGATGAAGGTGTCATTCCTATATTATTATTCTTACTAGAAGAACTTTGTGACGAAGCGATTTGTAATGAAACTAAGATTGATGCTTTTGCTAAATCAACTTTGACGAAATTTATGTTTTCCAATATATTTTATTGCATCTTTGACTTTGCCTCGATGGAGAAATCTTATTTGATTAGCAGACACTGCACAAGTGGTAGGTTAGATAAAATGATCAAGAAATGAATGAATTCGATCATCCGGAGCATCGATCAAATACATAAGCATGAAAAAATGTCTTCTTCTATGTGTTCGTACTTTGAATTGATTGATATTGTATCATCGTTAATTTCCTACATTTGACTATCGTATGGACACAGAAATCAGTTGATTATTCTAATTTTCTTCATTGATTTGCACATATTTCATTGTTATATTTGTTCACATACGAATAATAGAAGATGATCGAATCGTAGATCAATGATGAAATGAAAAAGTTCGATGGAAATCAGAAGAAAAAAAAATTGAAACTTTCATCTTTCTAATGAGAACGAGAATCTTTGTTGAGATAAATCCAGACAAATTCAAAAAGAAAACTGAACGTGATCAGAATGAGAACAGAAGACTCCACGAAAAATCATGAAGTTCTTTCTCTGAGCTATGTCAGCGCTCTGAATGGATCATGTTTTCCATGTCTAGACTCAAAATCAACAAGATTTCTTTACAAAAATAATATTTTTTAATCCTTTCATCACCCAGTCTATCTTTAACAAACCTAGAAAAAGGACCTGGAATTTTGTCTAAAATTGTGAGAAATATCAGATTAATATTATGAATATTCAATGGTAATCACAATTAGCAAACATTCTATTTAACGAAATTCAATATGTTCCAAAGGTTTTTCTTTATACCTTTGTGAAGAAAACAGTACCTTGTATAAGCTAAGCATGAGAGCGTCTACATTCTTCTTGGAGCTAAAAAATGTGCTGAAATCTTTATCGCTGCATGAATTCTTGTTAAACCAAACGAGTTCTATCTAGTCGTGTGGAAACATGAGGGAAAAGGATTAGAAGACTATTCAACTTGCTTGTTTTAATCAACTAAAACTTAATGTTTACATTATTCAAGTTAAAACAGGATTTGTAGAGAAAGTCAGATATAATAGTAAAAACATAAACGAAGGATTTTTAAAAGCAACTTTCTGAGATACTTCGTTGTCATAAGTGAGACTTTTACATTCATACGAATATGTTCTCTTTAGTGAAAACGAGAACATGATATTCCACGATTTGACTATCGATCAACAAATTTCTTATCATTTCTTTGTTAAATTCACAAAAATGTTTTGTGAGTTTCGATGCGAGTGAGGATAAGGATATGAATAACTTGATAAAAGTCGATCTATTTGTCTTATAGATGTAGAATTTTTATGATTAAATATCGAGACGAGATATATTCAGAGCTACGAAAATACCACAATGAACATCTCAATTCGTTACACAAGTTTTTGTCTTTATGCGGTTGTTGTTCGTTGATTGAAATACATTTGAAAGAAGAAACGATGAAATGAGAGCTAAGAACAGAAATTCTTACTCGATTGATCTGATTCACTAATTGATCGGCTCTTAGTCGAAGTACATCTGTTGTCTCTAAATATTGCGAACGCATTTTCTGATCTCTTTCTTCTTGAATTTCCCATTCCGATCGTTTTCGTATTCGTAAAACAAGAGATTTGTGAGAAAGATCATTAAGATAAACAGATTCTTCTAGATCAATGTAAACATCATCTTGACTTTCATGGAACAATTTGACGATCTCCTTCTCAGTTTTGTATCGAGTAAAATAAATTTCCATTGATGAAATCGAACAAATGATCAAACCTAAATCGATCATTGACCAAAAGTCTAACAAATATTTCCATTTTAATTTCAAAATTGATTGAATTTCATTATAAATGAAATAAAGAATTAAAATCAAATAAACAATTGTGCAAATCAATTGAGAAAATGATGTAAAAGCTAAATAAAGAAAAAGACGATGATATCTGATCTTCTAAGTGAAAAGATTACCATAGAAATGAATGGGTTGGAATCGAGATTGAAAATGAAGATTTCCTGTTGAATAAAATTCTGTTCGAATTGTGATAATAACACGTGTTTCTTGATTAATCCAACTTAATCGATGAATTTCAGGAAGATTTCTTCGAAGATCTTTTATTGAACCACGAAATTCATAAATATATCCACGATGTTTTAGGACAATTTGAATATTTATTTAATTCTATATTTGTTATATTTTTTTTATTGGTATTAAACTTATTTCTCATTCTGGTTGATATATGAACTTTTCTTGACATGTGTTGTTTTATATTGATATGATATGTAAATAATTCAATGTATTTCATGTTTTCGATGGAACTTTCATTTATATACACACCTTTATGGATATAATAAAGATTACTTGTACATTTATTACGAAATAATTGATCTATTCTTGAACAATCAACTTCATTATCATTATCGACTTTACAAGAATTAATATTGTGTTTATCTTAAAAACGGTGGATATTTTTGAACTTAAGGGATTGACTGATGATATGATTAATTTGAGTTACGATGAATTCTATGAATTTTTAAAAGCTGCTTTGAATAATGATTTATGTGAACTTTTTCGAATTCATGCTATTCGAGATATGTTCTCTTTATTATCAACAACAGTCGATCGATTAATTGAAATTTTCAATTATGATATTCTTGAATTAAATTCTTTGAAACAAAAACTTGGTTATGTTTCAACAAATGGAAATTTTTATCCCCGACTTGGTTATCGAAATTCACTTGATCGTTTATTATTGTTAGTAAAGACGAAAATGAATTTACGTATGAATAGTTTAGTTGTACCTGTTAATCACATCGAATATGATATTGCACAAAAATTAACAGAATTGTGGGAAAATACTCCTAATTTATCAAATCATAATAATGCTCCTATTCTTATTTCATGGATTAAAAATATTGTTGAAAATCTTAAAAGACCAAAGAATAAATTTAGTTATGATCATCATATTCAACAATTTGCTCTTCTATTATTAATTCTTGGTAGTCGAAATTGCTATGAATTTCTTCGATTGAACTTATATGGAGCATTACCTCATATTACCAATTTAGAATTATTGAAGGACAGTTCAGATTTGATTTATTAGAAGAATATTTACAGTTATATGATAATAAATACGTATTTTCATCGGAAGATTCAACTCATTTAATAAAATTATGTGAATATATCTGATGAAATCGAGGACTTATTTGAACGAAATCACCATAAGATACAGATTCTTTTTTACACAAACATTGTAAGTTTACACATTTATTTTGAAGATTTTTGTAAACAAATTCATTTTGCACGATAATTGTTTTCTTTTCTGTTGGATTTTGAATAGAACTATGTGTTGTTAGAATAATCAAAGGTATTATTAGAAAAACAATGCACCAATCACTTGATAAAATCTGCAGTAGAATAATTAATGGATCTGATGATCCTGTAAGAAACATTTACCATTTGAGAACTTTATCTCGTACATCATTCGGCAACAATTTTATTAGCATTTTAAAATATTTTAAACGATTCTGATAAAATACACTGTTATACCGTGATATTCAACGAAAATTAAATAGGATGACTATTGATAATAAAATTCTTTCGTCAGTTAAAACATGGAAACGAACTATTTTATTTCTTTTTTTAATTGAGGATATGCACTAGTAAGCAATCATTCAGTGTCCTGAAATAATAATCGTATCTTATTATTCAAGTTTTCATAAATGATATCCGATAAAAATTGTATTGTTCTTTATGAATTTACATCGAAGTAAATCATGATCATTTTATTTTAAAAAAGAAAAGATTATAACAACAGTTATTGATACACTAATACGACAACTAATTTTCTTCTGCATTACCTTGATTGTAAATTTCAGCTAATGTCATTGGTTCAGTAATATTTTCTTGACCAAAACCTAATTTATCTGATAAAATCTTTGCACTCTCAAGATCAAGTTTATTAAATTCATAATTGGCAATTAATCGACCTTTTCGTAATAGAGCTGGATCAATAATTGTTAAATCACAATTAAATGTTGCAATTATTTGTTGATGCATAGCATCAC